TACAGCCGATGCACATTAACAAGAGTAAAATGAAATACTTATTCAACGTCAATTTTTGGTTTCCGTTCAGGTTGAACTGCATTAAATTTCTCAAAAACCCACCATCTTACGAAGACCTCCAATTAAGATCAATAACATTTATTTCGAGATTTCGTCAATATAGAGTATAATTTACCTAACTCACAAGAAAATAATCAGCGTATGCACTTGTGTGAAATTCATACTGAGCCAGTCTAATGTAAAACTCGCATCATCACTTCAAGTGTAAATGCCCAAAACTAAATTTCGTTAATATCTGTAGAGTAGTTCCGATGAAATATGCTGCCTGGCAGACGAGCACGACCTCCCTATAAAACTTTCCATTTGTTTATTCGATATTTAGCTTTACAGGGAGGCCGTGCCCATCTGCCAGTCCGCATACAAGTAACAAACTAACACATTTCTAGGTTCAGACAATTGAAAAGTAAAAATATCACAACATTTGTATAACCAACTGTGCGTGTCGGTGACATTAGAATACTTACATGACGCATCACGCCACTGAATACGGTTTGTAACTTTCAAACCTGGCACAAGAAACCAAAGCCCTGAGGGGCGACTTAACAAAGCTGTAGCCAAGTATGTTTCACTATACAAACACAGACGAATCCTTAGACTCTTCTCTTTTAATACCTCCTTCAAGTTGTCTTCCATCAATATTACTTTTCTTATTCGCCATTAAATACAACAGAATATCGTTACAGACAACTGCAAATTCTTTTCTGTACATCACCATGTTTCACGGCAAAGTCTAAAAACAAAATTCCCCCTAGAAAAACGACGTAAAAGAGGGTCAAGCAGATGGACATGCTGTAAAGGGTTACTGAACCACGTAAGTGTATATCTATTTGAGCAGAATTCCTCAAATTACTTCCTATTTAGTATCGCCGTCTTCTGCGATGTGATGAAGTGGAGTCTGGACACCTAAAATGGAGACAGGAAGTTCCTCCGAAGTGTCGCTACCAATATGCCTATCTTAAGATTGCTGGCGTGAGAACATCAAACTTCGGTTCTTTCCTTTTTCTTACTTTAAATCCACAGCACGATTCTGCCAGGGTCTTCGCCATTGCAGAGATTTTCTAAATCTCATTGAACCAATCAGCAGTACTCCATGGAAGATCAGATCATCCATCGGGTCCCACCACCCAACAACAAAGAAAAAGGCGAACATATATCCATGTTCCGAGAAAAATTTGAAACCGCTGTCAATGTTTGGACGGTCTCGGCGCCGGTACTGAGATGGGAAAATGCCTTGCGCTTTAAATACCAGTCTATATAATTTAACGAAAGTTACAACGGTGACTATTTCACGAACTGCGAACCATCAATTTAATCCTAGCATTTATCAAGTGCTAGAATTATTACTCAAAAATAAATCTGCTAACGTTATTTATACGAGATACTTCAAATAATACGGATGGGAATTTTGTTATCCAGAAAAAGGAGGCATATCCTTAACTTAACCGCTCTATTATTCCACTACAACACTGCGTAAACGTATTTACAATCTCTTGGTCAATTTCACGTCTTCATAAATCCCGACACCCCGCTGGTCTCCTCACCGGCGAAGCCACTTAGTTACATCCAGCAAACACATAACACCAAACTAATTGAAAGCGAAGTAGTACTCCGAAATATGAAGCCGCTAACCACAATTCCCGTCAGTCAGTGGGTATGGAATAATCATAATCGTCCAAATAATTACGGACCTTCTTTACGTCATTAATGCAGTAACAGATGAAACTAAAAGTTACATTCCTGTAAAAGGACTAAGTAAGTTACGTAATTATTACGCTGTTAATTCCGTTTTGAGGATGTCACCGACGTTTCGGAGGTACATGCTGCCTTAATCTTCTGCGTCGAAGTGTGTAAGGCGGGAGAGTGTAACCAGCTTCATGTTTCGAAGGTACCGCAGGGGGAAGGGGACGGCGGTTGGTGCCTCGTTTTTGCCAACAGGGACACTGGACCGGGAAAGCTGTGTAACAGAAACCTTGCAAGGGCCACAGAGTGCATCAAAAACCCACTGGCAACTAACTAATGTTCCCACGCAGGCACCCATGTAATCTGTACACTTGGGTATCTGCTTTGGTTCTCATCTACCTAGCCGACTATTTGGACTCCTTTCGTAACTTTCGTAACTTTCGTCCGTCATCTCAAGCGAAAGCCAGGTCAGTACTAGCCACGCCCGCTTATTTCTCCGTCCTTCGAAATTTTCAGTACACATGCAGCTTCTCACACCAGTTGCTGTAACAGTTGACACGGCGTCGTTAAGTAACGTATCGATATATGAAAATACAACGGCATGACAGCAAACCTGACGGCAGTTCAAGTCTTCGGTAGCCAGTTCGTTCCCGCTTAATAGCCCGACAAAGCCGCGGCACTTCTTAACAGCCTTCCGTTCCCTGATACGTAACGTACCGCCTTCTCCGATGTTCAATATTAATATTATCATCACGAAAAAAAATCTTCAGAAACAAGAACCTATCACTAACATGGAATCTGATTTTAAGCCAATTTCCGAGTCCCTTTGAGGCCCATGGGCTGACTCCTAGACCAGGTAAACAGTTAAAAGATACTGCAGTTTCTTCTTTGCCAAAGATAAGTTGCTTCCTTAGAATTCATTAGAATATCTCATCCCAGGCTTCCATTTGAAACCGCAGACCAGCTAATCCTATTGCTTACTGTTGATAACCCATTTCCGAAGCATGCTATAAAATGGGGCAAATTCTTGTAAACTGCAGGTTTTGGAATATATCTGTCACAGGAAAGTTTGATCTAGTTGATTACATAAACAATTAAGATACAAACTACTAAATACTATTGCTTCTTTTAATCAAAATATGTCTTCAGTGTTTATCCTATATCACGTAACAAATTAAAATAGAAGCAGATACATCAAACTGTTTTCCCTCCATCCATCTTCCTCACTGCTACAGTTCTAAAAGCTGCAGACCATTAGTCATTACGAAATTCTAAACTTTGGTGGGCTTTGGTCAGAATCTAATTCCATGAATTTTGGTTACTTTTCCTGTGCAACGACTAATGCAGCACCCTACCTACAAACAATATGTTTAGGCAAAGAAAATACGTTATTAATAATAAAGAACTACCAATTCTCTTGAACTATTAACGTTTTCAATCGGCACCTTTACGCAGTTTACTTCATTTTGTTTCCTACTAACTTCCCTGCATAAAAAACAGTTTCAGAGAACTTTATTTTTGCTCTACTTGCCTAGTCTGAAACTTTTACTACTTTTGGACCTACTTCTGAATAATGGTCTGATATTGCATATTATATATATATGAATGAATTTAATATACTATATCCATATTCTATAAAAATTGTTTCAATATAGCAGGTGAACAAAGAGATGTCTCTGCTTTATTCTTCTGATTTCTGATGTAGACACCACACTTGCAAGAAACTAATTACCAACTCCAGCAACCAAATTCCAGATTAATGGAATTCAGTAATATACGTAATTTATATAAAATGGCATTTCAGCAACAGAAATATTCTGTTATGACACCAGCTCTGAAACTCAGGGAATGGCAACAAACTTCAGACTTCCTCTGAATAATGATCTAATATAGCAGATTATACACACAAAACAATTTAATCTATACCCATTACTGAAGCAAAGTTACTTCAGTAAGGGTCACTAGAAAACAGATGCCTCTGCTTCACCATTTTGATCTCAAACACAAAAGACATACTTATTGATCCAGAACTCATGTTTTATTCTGCAGAGGCATGGCTCACTTTACATGGTTAAATAAACAGCTGAAATAACAGATAAAATCCTCCTCATGCTGTTCATCACTGCTGGATTTAAAAGTTTGGCATTTCGGTGTGCAGTCAATGTGCGGAGGTTAACTGATGAGGTGTTTCTTCACAAAAAAAATCCATTCTGAACATTATGTGAGACTGTCAGCCTTCTTCGATGAACTGACTGTTGAAATAAATGAATCTTATGCTGCATAATGCAGTGACACATACTGAGAATGCATCAGATAAGAAGTCGTCAGCAAAGGAACCATCAGTTGAGGAGTGTGACATCTGCAATCACCCAATTTAAATCCCTGTGACTTTTATTTGTGGGGCGCACATGTGAATAATCCAGTCTCTGGAAGACCTCTTGTGACTGTTCCATAAAATTAGGTAAAATTTTGCATAGTGGGGGGTGGAGTCCAACTGGGTCCACTAAGCACGTCAGCCACTGATTGGCCTATTGTACCTGCCCCGGGTGATTACGATGATGCAGAATTTGGTGGAATGAAGATTGGCAGGGGAAACCGAAGTACTAGGAGAAAACCTGCCCCAGCACCACTTTGTCCACCACAAATCCCACTTGATCAGACCTGGGCTCGAAACTGGGCTGCCACATTGGGAAGCTGCCGACTAACCACCTCAGCTATGGCGCAGCATTATAAAATCAGGTAAGTTGAACTAGAGCAGAAAAATAGGTCCCGAATTGCCGGCTGCTGTGGTGCGTCTACGCGAGAAGAGTGCTACGTCTGCTGCATGAACCAGCCCAAGAATAAAATGTAGACTGTGTGCGTTAAATGGCAGAGTTAACGCAACCCAAAAAGATTTCAAAGGAAGCTGTCGTATCGAGCTTCCTGAATTAAATTTCAGAATTCAATGCTTCTACCAAATATTGACATTTTAGTTATCCATCACCAATTCAAAGTCGCTGCAGTGGACATTCTATTTCATTCCAGACTAACATGACAACAGTTTTCAAGAAGTTCAACTGAAGGCTTCAAGAGTGTGGTGAACTGCAGCACACCATGACAACACAAATCATACCCATCAATACACATTAACTGCACTTTGCTTAAATATCATTTTAGCTTATAATTTTAGAATTAGGAATCCTTCACTACCCATCAAACCTCAAACAAAATGAAAGCAACTACATTCATAACCTGCATCTCATGAGAGTCACAACACTCACGTCTAAATCCTCGTCCTTCCTCAGGAGTAGACCGCTCGGTACCCTCTGAACCTGGAGTGGCAGTGCCTTCACGATCTTCTGACATCGGTGCGTCTGAACTCTCTTCTTTGACTACAGGAGGTGAGATAGACACGCTAGCAGGAGAACTTGAATCGGCTCTCTGCTGTTGGGTCTGCCCGTTCAGATAAGCTCGCTCTTCAGCAGCGATGCCGGGAGAGAAAAGAGTTGACAAGTGGTTCGTGGCAGTCGATGTTTCGTGATGACTGCTGTTGCTTGTTTCAATCTTGAGACACTTAGAAGGCGGGGCAAAAGCAGAAGGGAAACCTTTGACCTCGGGCGCTGCAGATGTACCAAGGGGTCGGAAAGCGCCGGATCCAAAGGGGACTCGTGGGTCAAGAGCTGGATGGAAGAACTGGGGCTGGATATGGTGCAGTAAGTGGGCTGGCAAGCCAGGGTAGTTGTCCATATGCCGGAGGCCAAGCCCAGCATTAAATGGCACGTGTAAATCCTTAGCTTCTGGTGCCTGAAAAGGAGATCAAACATTCATTAATTATTTCCCATATAATTTATTAACAAACAATCTAAATTTTGTGTCACATAGAATTAAGTTGGTAAATAGATGCAGACAGATATGTTACCATTTAAAATGTTCAATTTCAGCATTCTTAAAGAGCACATTAATATTATAACAACTGAGCTACTTGACACCAAATTCTTTGATACAATTCTGACTGGACAGGTTTATGGGGCACATTTTATAATTTTCTATCCCATTTTATTTTTCATTAACTTACAGATTAGGAAACATACCTGTGGATTGAAGGGCCTCTGCATTCTAAGTGCATCAGGCAGCCCTCCTGCCTGAGAAAACACTACCAAAGCTGGGGGCGGTAGAGGGTTGGGAACATATGCAGAATTTTCCATCTGTAAGAAAGTCAAAGATACTAAATACTTATTCCCAAATTGGTCTAAACGTTCTATAAATTAGTAATAGTAAACTTGTAAACAAAGTACAAGTAAAATATACTGGCAAAAAATATGTTAAACATCGGCTTCTTTATAATGTAACACGCTAAAATCCTCTAAATTTAAAAATGCGAAATTATCACAAATTCTCATTAAGTAGCGTGGCGACGAAGTTGCAACGAGGCATGCACAACTCATGGCATTACGTGTTCAGCATCAAGCTTTACAGTAGCAGGTTATCATAACAAACTTCGCTGAATGAAGGGTGATGCTATAATCGCATGCATTCTGTTTCAAAGATAACTGTCTTCGATATATGCAATGCAGCAGCCATCCTCGTGGCCGATAAAAGTAATCACACAAACGTAAACAAAACCGACACATTTGAATAAAAGACGCCACAAAACCACAACATGTTCTACACTTCATAACATAGCACTCCGGTATCACACTCGGTAGCAACTGGTGCTGACATTCAAACATTACCTCTAATCTCCTACTGGCACACATACTTATTACCTGCACCTACATACACTTATGAAACACTTGAACAACAAGCGGTACCATAACCCCTACACTGGTGTGGGTTTTTGTTTACCTTGAATAGTCTCAAACTGACTGTACCATGGGATGAATAATGTAATAATATTATAAAGTAAGTAAAAGCTTTCTAAAGAGCACGTTCGTTGGACCGAGTAGCTTTCAATTGCTTCCCCTGAATCCACCAGGCCCCGACTGAGCTCCATAAACACTTACCTACGCACTCATGTTGTCCCGAGGTGCATGTTGGGAAATCGACAAAACACGATCGCTTTTCGTACGGCGGGAGAAAACGAATATGGAGAGCCTCGCGTTGATAGCGGGAACGATGAACTTCGTATTGACAATTTGGGTGTACATTTAACATTTAACATTTATTCAGCATTCCATAAATCCTTACATGGTTTCAAAACACCACGGATATAGAAGTAGTCAACATGAGTAAGCATAATTACATACTGCATCACATTTGTGCAATGTCATAACAGTAGCCATATATAAATATTTACAAAAACATGAATACATGAACATGGATATAGAAGAAGTCAACATGAGTAAGCGTAATTACATACTGCATAACAATTGTGCAATGTCATAAATATATAAATATTAATAAAACATGAATACATGAACATAAACCGTCACATGCAACAATAAAGTGCTATTACCTACAATCTGTAACAAAATCAGGAACATCAGTTGTTATCCTAATTGTATTATGTTTATTATTATTTTATTTCATTCAAAAATCCAAAATAAGGATACAGAATTNGAACGATGCTACCTCCGTATTATTATAAATAAGAAATGCGAGTGAATACGTCAAGAAACACATGCGTTTCTCAATAACGAGACAACTATAAATACGCAGTGGCAGGACATATATAAAGAATGAGACTGGTCTGTTCTGCATTGTTTAAAGACTTGGAATGTTTAACCGCTATGGGAAATATGGAAACTGCAGTAAATATTATTTATGATTTGAGGTTCTCACAGCGGTGCTTCTGGGATATGACGCCGTGTGATCCGTTGAAAGTGAACCGACTCCATGGCGTTATATCCCAGAAGACAGCAATACTCTTCAGTTAATATTATTGGTTATTGCTAAAGTTATTTTATTAATCATGATTTCATATAAGTTTCATTGAAATTCCACATTCTGCAGAAATGTCAATGATACAGTCCCGAAATATATTTCTGTAGTCACATTAAAAATCAATAAGAGACCGACACACTACAGACTTCATGCTGCATGGTAGGAGAAATGCGAGGATGGCGCTCGTGAATGTTAAATAGGAAGGAATGGGTAGGAAGAGATCGAGAAATTATAAAATATTTCCCAGGAGTAACATGTATTAGATAGAAGCATAAATTAATGGAAAGACAAGCGTTGCAATATCTCTCAAACGACACAATACTGTCGTAATTAATATGGATATTTAAATTACTGGCACTGACTGGATACACCAGTAATGCACATCATATTTCCACGATGAACAGGCCTACAGGTGAATAATTTATTCACTCAGGCCTCAAACAATGAAGTAAATCGTGTGAAATTCTACTTCAGTGCCCACATTCGACACAGTGAAGCTGTGTTATGTCTGACTGTATCTTCGTTTTAATACTCTGTAGCATAAGTGATGCTCTTCAGAATTCTGTAACAAGTACATAAAATTAAGTCAAGTTTATCGTAATTACATTAATTATGTGTCGGTAGGGCAATAGTCTTGCATCATGCACTGTTCCATTCGTTTTTTTTTTTTTTTGCTCTAAAATATGACATCATATTTACAGATCCATACTGACTGGTAATAATTATTTGTAATATTCATTTAGAGTAGCAGCATGTATTTGTTTACGTGTAACCGTACAAGATATGAACGTTGTTGTTTTTGTAGTTGCTATTATTATTATTATTATTATCATTATTATTATTATTATTATTCGCGGAATAAAGCCACGGAATTTTTTGTTTTTTACTACTACTATCGTATTATTAGAGGAGCTGGACTAGTGCAGTCAGTATACCGACTTACCACAAGCTGGACGGCCTAGGGGCAGGAGTTCAAGTCCCGGTAGTAGCAGGATTTTTCCCTTATTCCTCGTCGTTCAGACAGGATCCGAGGCCCACCCAGCCTATTATTCAATGGGTACCAGGGGCTCTTTCCCCGGGGGTTAAGCGGCTGGAGTTTGAAGATGAAGACTCACCTCCAACTAGTGCAGAGGTCAAGAATACATGGATATATACGTACATTCCCTCCCCCATACATTTTCATGGAGTAGTACTTAATTAGTTTGGCACAGGGACAGTTTTACTTCTTACTTTTACTGTACCAGCAGCAATTTAGCAGACAGCCTACGACAGCGAGTGGTAGCCAGTGGCAACCTCAAGCGGCCAAGAGTCAATCGCCAGGAGTTGCCGCCATGAAGGGATATAAGACAATCTGTAGTCGGCAAGGAAACGAACACGGCAGCTGAGGAGTCTACAGGTTCGGGAACCGTTACCAACCTACCAGTAGTGAAGACACAGTAGACCAAGAAGACATAGTGTGTGCTGTAATGAACTGTAGATCGCTTGAATTCGAGATGGCGCTATAATTATTTGTAGTTTCTTTTTGTAAGGGTCCAGAAAATCCAATTACCAATCCAAACCCCGTGTCTAGTCACTTAAAACATGACAATATTATGCTTTGATTTTAATAAATACTTTTAATCGACCTAAAATTTTGCTGATATTTATAGTAAATTATTTTTTTAATCTAAATGGAATTATTTGGCTGTGTAGTTGAATTTCAATTCGTTGAGAAATGTGTTTTTTTTTTTGTTGTTTCTTTCCTCTTTTTATGGTTGTTTCTACTCCTGTTGTGAAACTTTGTCTCTGACATTAAGGGAGGAACACAGACTGAGGGTATTTGAGAACAGGTTGTTGAGGAGAATATTTGGACCGAAGAGAGATAAAGTGACAGGAGGTTGGAGAAAACTGCACAATGAGGAGCATCATAACTTGTACTCTTCTCCAAGTATAATTAGAATGAACAAGTCAAGGAGGATGAGGTGGGAAGGGCATGTAACATGAATGGGGGAGACGAGGAATGCGTATAGGATATTGGTGGGAAAGCCAGAAGAAAAGAGACCACTTGGAAGACCAAGGTGTAGGTGGGTGGACAATATTAGAATGGATTTTAGAGGGATAGGATGGGATGATATTGATTGGAGTGATCTGGCTCAGGATATGGACAAGTGGAAGGCTCTTATGAAGACGGTGATGAACCTTCGGGTTCCATAAAATGCTGGGAAATTATTGAGTAGCTGGAGAATTGAAGGTTCTTCCAGAAGGGCTCAGCTCCATGAATAAGTAAGTAAGTACGTAAGTAAGTAAGTAAGTAAGTAAGTTTCTACTCCTGTTGAACTCTCATCAGCCATCAGACTGCTGAATCAGCACGTTCATAAACAAAGATTTGAACATAATTATTATAGCTGATAATTTGTTGTTGCTGCTTTTGTTATTATGAGAAGCTCACATGCCATTCTACAGGGACACATACTATCCCAAGATTTTTCTTATTTTTTTCAGTCTCCCCCAGGCAAATCCTGGAATAGTTCTTCAGGCTTCACAATGAATGCTTTCTTCCACATCTCTTTCAATTAATCATGCCTTCTACTATTTATTCTGTAATTCTAATATATGTAATCTTATCTAACGATAGCGTCATTGAAAAAGCCACAAATAATTAAAACAGCACACCCCATTCTACATGTGATGAAGCCTTACGATTGCGTTTGGACCAGCACACAATATTGGACTTCTACATTAAATGGTCATAATAAACTGTAGCTCATATCCCGAATAGAGCTGAGTCAGACTGTCCGAAACAGACGTAACGGTTTCCTCTGAAATATTGCAGGCACACATCTTATTAAATTCAGATGTCAATAGTTTCCACAGTAAAGCTATCCCTGTACAGGCCGTGAAGGCCCAAAGGTTTGTCAGACATCGATGTTATCATATTTTGTAGTCAGTCGGCTCACAGATGGCGGTGAGGTCAGCTTCAAGCGCCGGCAGCCCTTTATACCCCAGGAAGATTCCCGGTACTCATTTCTGTTAGGGGTTGAGACCACCCCAGGGACATAGTGCGGGTGGAAGGATTAGGTCAATTGAAAAAAATCCACCTCTTCGAGACTCGAATTCGCGACCTTCCGACTTGTAGTATAGTGCCTCAACCAATTACACTATTGCGTGCTTCGATTCTGAAAATTTTATCTTGCATATACAGTGTATGTTAGCACCCCAAATATAAGAGCGTGATACTCGTAAATTGAGCAGCAAGCGAACCTTAGCAGAACTGTATAGATACTGAAGTCTACACCGACAAATTCACCATAGTGCAAATGTTCTGAAATGATTACCCGCAAATTCTTGAACCCCGTCCGCATTTGCCACACGAATGAAACGAACGCGTTCTCAAAATGTCTATTGCGAAATAGTAATGAACGTTAGCATTCGTCCGCTTTCGCTTGGATTTGCTGGCAAAGCGGGGAGCAAAAATGAATTAATTTTCAAATGTGAAAGGTGATAATCCAAGCACGCTATAATGCTGTCGTATGTTATTCGGCAGCACGCATGACGAACAGAACCGAACATAAAGGGACGAGAGTTATGAATGCAGTGTGTAATGCACAGAGATCAAGACTAACATTCAAACGAATCTTCGTCGGTTCGTTTGTTCGTTCGCATTCGTTCGTCATATATGAGCTCACCGTTACAATAATTGAGTTGCATAAAAGATCACAGGATAATATCCACTTTAAAGAATATATTTGCGAATAAATTGTCATTAATTATTTATTTATGTGATTAATTTCCAAGCATATCTATATCAAAATTTTACGTTAGGTAACATACAATGCGATGTGGCAGGAAGGTTATGAAATTATGAATATGAGGAAATTATCTTTGCTGCCTGTTCCCAACATTTTTAGTTATATCTAAATTACATACATTTATGAACACGACGGCATCAATAAAGCTATAAATACATTGAAGTTCATAACTTTAAGCTGGCTGGTAATTAATGTGGTCCTGTCAATTTTGTGACTTTGAACACAGAGATCTATTGTGTGTTGACACGATTCCAGACCGAAGTGCCATTGAAGATACAGGCACTATATAGAAACTGAAGTAAATTTTTGGCTGAACACTT